ATTTTTTAACCCATTCAGTACTCTTGACATACTGTAAAAGTCTTTAAGACTTTACACATCCATACATATTCACTCTCTATTATTAAATTTTTTTTAAAGTTTGGTCAGCTTTTATTGTGAAGTCCTTTATAGTAAACACAACTGTGATTTGATGCCGGATACAAGGATACAAGGACACAAACAGCTTAAGCAACAATGTATAATTAATACTGTTCAAAATATACTCTCAAACATAGGATTCAACACATCATCAATCCTTTAAAATTTTATTTGAGTTCTAGAAATCATCTCAAGACACCTCGCTTGTTCAAGGTTCCTTACTGTCATTCGCATCGCATGTGGTGCATGAGGTGGAACGAAATCGTGTACACAGGGTCCCAGTTACAGCCAACGAAAATGAATTGTAAAATAAACTGTAATAGGATTCTAAGATATAGCTCTATATAGATATATAGATTCATGACCTACATTGGTGTCCCGATGCTAACTTTAGGAACCACTCCGCGAACACAGGAAGCAGATGTCTGAGCTGTGGGAGTAGAGCCCTGAACTGGGAAACAGGCGCTAACAAAGGCGCCAAATGGGCATTTTGAGCTAAAACTCTCAAATTCATTTGCATTTATTCATTCCTTTTCTTTAATTATGGCAGTAAAGCTGAGCTCACCCATGACCATAGTTTCCACCTTATGATCATTTCAAAATAAGAGAGCTGTGGTGGCTTGATAAGGAGGTGCCATGGACTTTTAGTATTAAAGCTGCAGGTTCACAAACGGTCCCAGGTTGAGTCAGGAAGGACTTTCAGCTTAAAACACTTGTCAAATCTTTTGTGTGACTTTTCACAAAAGACTTAAAAGAGTTTAAGAGAAAAACGACAACAATCCTTTCAAAATAAACTACAATGGCAGAAACATGCTGAGATTCTCACAGTTGTTTACTCCTTTCTTTATTTGGGAGGGGGGCAGTACATGTCAGAAAAAGCACCCCAAATAGAAAAGCAATGTTGGGTACAAACTTTGTGTGTCACTACTAGGTGCTCAGAGTAAAAAAAATAAAAAATAATAATCAGTAAATAAAAGATCACCATGTTTAACCCTTATATAATCCTTTAACTTTGACTATTCGTGTTAATGGGGGTGGGTGATCGACCACCTTATTTAACTACTTAAAAATACAATTTAATATTTTTAAGACGGAAATCCGTCGCAGCGGCAGCAATGAAGAACTTTAATCCATGTATTTATTTTATGGTAAGTAATAACAGGGGCTGAGACGGTGCAGCGGCAGGGCAGCCGACCTGGGACCCGAAGGTCCTGGGTCCGAGCCCCGGTCGTTGCAGATCTCGTGGCGTTTCTGAGCAGGACTTCCCATCCCCAGTTGCTCCCCGGGCACCCCCAAAGGCCGCCCACCGCTCCGCCTGGTGGTGGATGGGTTAAATGCAGAGAGCCAATTTTGCCATTGTATGGGAACATACAATGACAATACATATACATTATTATTATTATTATTATTATAAATAAATAAAACTCCTGTCTGGAGCTTAATGAAGACCCTAAAGAGCACCGGACGATTCAGAATCTGTAGCTAAAAACGAGGCCTTGTTTTCGATCTGGTCTCCCGGTCTTCCAACATAAGGTTGTTTTTTTTCTTTTCTTCTAATTATATATTTTTAGTCTTTAAATATTCTTTTTTTCATTATATCTAAATATATTACAAATATAAAATTAAAAATAAGTTAAATATATTCAAGTCTGCATGTGATAGCATAGTTTATTCTAAAACTTTTAAAATCTATTCTAATGTAGCAGATTTTTCCCCGAAAGGAACATGACTGAGGTTATGAGAGAGTTTGAAAAAAATATGACAAAAACATATATATCATGTTTATTGACTGCACCACATTAATAAATAAAAGCTCAGACAAAAATGAATGTGTGGCTGATTTTTCTCTAAAGCGTAATACAACGGTTAATTAAATTTTAAAAATAATACCCATCCTTACTACAAGCTGTCCACATGTGATGCTAGTTGCAGGGAAGTTAAAATTTAGCCCAGGAATTACCAATTGTTTTCAGACTTCTCCTTTGTCCAACTGCTTGCAATACTTTAATTTTAATTGATCTAATCAGTACATTTGGGTTTCACCAGCTTGTGTAATGGTTTGATTGTACATTACTGTACTTTTTCTTTTAAATACAGTCTGAAAATAAACATTATGTAAATATTTTTTTAAAGTACCGGTGCTACTTTTACTGACGGCGAGGAAGAAATGACAAATAATTTCCTCAGAGTTTGTGGATTTTAAGCTCTTTCAAGAGCAGATTCTTATAGAAACTGCCTTTATGTCTCTGAGTGAATAAGGAGCAACGGGACAGCCTGTTGGCATGTTGGAGGAGAACTACAACAAATAAAACTACAAATGCAACGTGATTAGCTCACAGTGGTCGTTGGACACAAACTCACTCCAGTAAATGGACGCCCACCGCTTCCTATGTGCAGGGAACCTGTTCCAACAAAATCTGGGTTTAATACGAGCCGTGTCGTTCTGACAGGATGGGTGTAAATAAGCTTCAGTTTCACTTGTTTTGTTAATGTAATTTTATTTCACTCACTCATTTTACTGAGGCAGTTCCAGAAGTTATCTTTCCATTTAAAAGCTTTTAAGTCGTCTGTTTTTACAGCAACAGACAAAGCACAACCAAGTCGGTGCGGCTTCAAAACCCAAGTTATCTTCGTGGTCGTAATTCTTTACAAACAACCGTTATTAGCCGACGGCACTGCAAGGATCCAACCCGACAAATTTATTGGGAAAACACGGGACTGCGCCTGAAAACGAGGGGCGCAGAAAGAGGCAGGAAGAAGACAGGATGTTAACGCCATTATTTAGGAGCCAGTCGAACACAGACATACTCCACCAGGGTGTACGAGCGGCTGAGAAGCCCGAGACCACCCAGGAGCTGCAGAGCCTCCTATCATACATCTACAACCCCTGCAGAAAAAATACCATCAACGCTAACTGGACAGAAGTCAGCCGTGAGCTCACGAACATTTGAACACAAACGAGTCAGCAAAGTTCAGAGCAAGTTTCTGTAAGTGGGTCTGAAAGAGAGAGGACTCTGTTGTACCTTGAATTAAACTCCAGCTACGCTCCTTCACACCATGCCAGCTTCTTGTTCGAGCACGGATCAAACTTGTGGCGGCGTTCTCAGCTGACGGAGAGAGCAAATGACGGCTTCTCCCCCCTCCTCCGCTCGCTGTCCCTCCCTCCATCCCTCAGTGACCTCCTTCCTTCTTTCCCTCAGCCTCACCCCTTTCCTCTCTCCCTCATCCCATTTCCCCCCCTCTCTCTCCCGTCTCTGCTGCAGAACTTTTTCTGCTGTTTACCGACGTGTCGGAGCTTGGTTAAACTTTGTTTTTAACTTCGTGGGAGCAGAACCCCCCTCCCCCGCATTATTCACATTTCCACACACGTACGCTAACTGGCATGCGGGTGAAGCATCGTGACATTTGAACCCAAAAACAAGCCAATGAGCACAAACAGACATGCATACAGGAAGCTAAAGGTCGAGTACAGGCGTCTGCAACCTTGACTATCAAAAAAACCCGTTCTGCTCAATCAATACAAAACATGCTCTGACTGCGATCAACTGGTGGCTCATGGGCCACTTTGAATTTGTTTAAAGGGCAGTGGGGTGAAATTGTAAAACTAAATATATATATATGATTAAATTGAACATTTATTGACGTTCTTACATTTTAAGACAAAAAATAATAATACCACATCGTTGTAAAGAAACAGTTAAATAAAAACAATACTTTCATTTACTTTCTCCAAAACGAACACAATTAAAACTAACGTAATTTCCAGACTATAAGCCGCTACTTCTTCCACATGCTCTGAACATCGCAGCTTATACATGGATTTTTTATTTTTATTTTGACGGGAAAAAGAGCTTCATAATTCAATTCAGTTTATTTATATAGCGCCAAATCACAAAAAAGTGGTCTCAGGGCACTTTACAGGAACATTCACATAGAAAAGACAATTAGTAAGTTCTCTAAGGAAGCAGCAGACTCCTTCAATCTTCATGTTGTTACAGTCTCCCATCCTGAGCACAATGGCAACAGTGGAAAGGAAACTCTCTTTTGTATTATTTAGCCTCGTCACACACGGGCGCTCACATAGCTGCCTAACATATGTCTCTCTTGGGGGGGTGGGTCCTCGTGACTCAATGAGACTAACTGTATAAAGGTTAAACTAAATAAAAATCTGACCAATGAAATTGCCTAACAGGTTACAGTGGACCAATGAAACGGGGAGGAGAGACCCTTTATTTCTCCACAACAAAGTATTTGCAGCCACTCAAAA